CATAGTCCAGCCACGTCCTGGTCCTTACTTTGTTACAAATTTTCCAACAGCACAAAACATGAAATAGGTCCCAGGAGCTACCACTTAGGGATGATCTTTGTAATATATCAAAGCACACCTCTCTTGCCTTTCTTTATCATTGGACTGAAAAGAATAAAATAGATAAGGCAATGCCTTTTACCGAATCAAATTACATTGGCCAACTGTGCAAGCTTTCAAGTGATACAGAATTCTTCATCAGGAACAACAGGCAGTTAGAACAGGTTGGTTTATTTGTAAGCAGTTTAGCCACTTCTAATTTTAGATACATACAATATATTGGCCAACCTGAGAAGACAGTCATAGCTCTAGTCTAGTCTTTAAAAGTGTCACAAAGCCCCAGATTATCCAAAAAATGCCCTTTAGAAGAAGGTGGCATCTATGAAATGTGAGTTTTATGTAACTACTCTTATTTACATATACATATATATTGATCAGTCATTTTACCAAAACCCTGTTTGGCTTCAATCTCCACAAAATCTTCTTTAAAAAATGATTGCTTTCAAAATTCCTTGAATAGTCCCTTCTCTGAACAAATTATGCAGAGGGAGTTTGCAGTAATACTAGCGTGGTTTCAACCACAAACAAAAAGGAACCAAGCAAATTCCATTTCCCTTTTTTCCCTTAAAAAAATCTAAAACAGTAGTGTGAAGTCCAACTGGATAACACCTGCTGAGAACGTGCATTAATATGAGCCTGGTTTTCCATCTTGTTCTTTTCCTGTGTGAAAACTATGCATTACACTCTCTTTAAAACAATTCTGCACTCTCACAGAACATTGTTTTTAAGATGTAAAGTTAATCCTCTGAATGAGAAAACAAGTACATTCTAGAGATACTATGAGAGTTTATAAGCCCTCATTTAAGGCTCCTTAGAAATCAGCCTTATCCCCTAGTCAAAGAGCCAAATGTTGCACAATCTGTTCACAAGTGGCGCACCCAGTGAGGCACAGGAGTCGAAACTGTGCAGTGTAGCACATTCCACTGTTGCATCTTTGGACTTTTATCAGAAGCCAACGTCTGATTACACTCCTCCCACTAATTTCCTTTCTCATTTTTTCTATAATATCCTGTAACCTGTTTGCCTATTACATGAATACATGATAGAGCACAATATCATTATCATATGATTGACTGAGAGCAAGTGAATGCCCAGCGTTGGGGTTCATTAAGATTATTTGGTATTTAGAACAAGGAGAGCAGTGTCCATCTTTGTGGTGTGGGGGTGTAGGAAATGTAAAGAATCAGTAGCTTGCCCAACAGGAGAAGCAGATGGACTGTATTATTGATAACATGGCAGATTTCCAGCACAAGACAAGGAGTATGTTGACAGAGAATTACTTCCTTTGGGCAGTAATGGATATTGGATTGGGGGGAACTCAGTGGAGGCCCTTAACCTAGAAGAGGTGAAACATTACAAACCAAGGATTCTCTCAGGCTGTAGCCAATCCTTTGAACAACCTGTGCAAAGTGGAAATGACCACATGGTCAGGGCAGTGGGCCTTCTGCTAGCCTTTGGGCCTGGGGAAATGCCCACTCTTGCCCCCTTCTAGAGTTGGCCCTGCCTTTGGGTCTGCCTCTGAAAAGTGATACGGTGGAAGTAGAATATAGTAAAAGTGGAAGGCTTCACACTCTGTGACCCTTTGACCAGCAACAATGAGGTGGCTAGTTACTAAACAGCTTCTCTTTTAATCAATTAATTTAAGCACCCACAGAGCAAAGCATGCCACTGTGCCTATTTTGAAATTAGCAGATTTATAGAGATGATAAGTTGGTGAAAATAAAGGTAAGCCAATAATTAATTGAAAAAATTCTGGAGCCAAGGGATAGAAGCAGAGTGAGTCAGAAGGGACCTCCCAGGCCATCTAGTTTAACCGAGATGCAACCAGGTTGCTTTCAGTTCCTTTATCCTTAAATGTTGCATCTGTTTAACAACTAAAGCATATTTCTAACATGCTGCTAAATGTGGAAGGTATCCACTTAATTTCTGCTAACTTAAGTTTTTACTGGCCTGTGATTCTGTGTCATTACCAACAGCTTGATCTAGAAACATTACCTGGTGATAATACTTACCTCCTTACTCAAAGAAACAAGAATCCTGTGGCATCTTCAGAGCTAATAGATTTATTACAGTTGAACCTTTTTGGGATTAGAGTCTGCTCAGGATCAGATGCCTACAGAGTTACTGGGGCACCTTTTGTATCTTTTCTGTAAAAGGTACTCCAACATTTTTTTCATAGAAATGTGTGCAAGGAAACTTACGCCTTTATAAATCTTTCATTTTAAAGACATCATAACACTCATAGTTGGTTTTGCTGCAGCAAACTAACATGGCTACTACCCTGGAAATAGTTTATAGAAAATTGCTGGCTAATTGCTGCCCTTCAGGTTATTGTTATTAACTGCAAGGAAGCTAAGTCACTGTTTGGTTAGCTAGCAGTTATACATGTGTCACAGGATCATATGGGAAAGGTGGTGACTCTTTCTGCATAGTAAAAATTGCACAAAATTATAGTAAATTGCCAAATTACTGTAATCAGGCACACCTAGGAGACAACCACTCTCTAAGTGGCAACAGGAAGCACAAAAGTCCAAAGTATATTCTGCTGCCATGTCTTTTTCCCCCTTAACTAGCACATTTCACCTTACGCCCCTACTTCTCTGTTAATCAAACAAGTAAGGTCTAGGTTAGCTACAGTCCATAAATTAATTCCCCTCCGATAGCTCCATAGGCCTGATCCTAAAGATGTTTACTTGGCCATAACTACTGGGAGTGACACAGGAGATAATTGTTAGTATGGTCTAAGGGCTGCTTCATACCATACATGAGCCCAGCACAGAAGTATGTATGCATATATGTATCTATTTGCAATGTTATTTCTAGCCCACATTTTGGCTTCTAAGATAGCTTACGATATCAATTAAAATTAACATAATCCAAACAATCTAATGAATCATGAGGCAAAATCAAGACCAGATCCAGCCTTTCTATGTAAGTATTAGCATGGTGATCATAGTTTACATCTGGGTAAAGCCAGTCCAGCATGCATGCAATCCTCTAATTCTGATTTAGAAGTGATTTTGTATAAGAAACTTGGCCACATCCAGATGGGATTATTGCAGTCTTCCACAATCCAATACCTTCTAGGTGTGTTGAACTGTGACCGCAATCATTTCCATCGAGTGGAAGGCACCTGGAAATGATCAGGTGAAGTGTTTTGCACCACTTATCCCCATCGTGGGAAAAGTTTCACCTGTGTAATGTCTGCACATCATATTTGAAGGTACAGGAACCAAGCCAGGAAAAATCATCTGGGGCTATAGGGGTCCTTTGGCAAATCCTGATCTCTCTACCAGACCAGGAGTTGCTGCAGTGATAAATGGAAATAAAGATATATTGTAGCCAGTCCTTGGGAGAAGATGGGAAAGAAATCTGGAGCCATTCCCAGTGAAGTATTAGCTTGGTATTGCTGCCTGCCACACCATAGCTATTAAACTTGACCAGAGAAATTTAAGCCTGATTATATGCATGGGTGCCACTGCTTCTTTGATAGTGCTATTGCTAAACACGCTGTCAGAGACACCCATGCTAATTACTGTGATCAGTGTGGGAGCATCCCCATTGCTCAAGATATATGTCCAGAGAGTGGTGGTGGGGCTGAACTCTGCTCTGCTAAGTGGGACCCAGTTAAATATGCAATGGATCAGACAAGATTGTCTTGATCACTTGCCTTTAACAGATATAAGATGGGTAGAAATCCATTACTGACTTTTTTTCACCACAGTCTCTCCCTGCTGGGAAATTGCCTTCCTGTTGAAATTCTGCTTGTCCTGCAGCCCTTAAGTGCACAAGAGTCCAGCCAGAATCAGAAGGCAACCCTGATTCTCCAACTGAGCATTTGCATGAGCTAATAAATAACTACAATTCTTATGCGATCAAGTAGCTGTGTGTATGGAACACACTGTTTTGCTATCATTGAGTCCACTGGTGGGGGCCAGGCTGCATCAGTGAAAAGTGTGCAGAGAAACTCTTACCACAGAACTTGGCCACTGGAAGTGGGATCCTCTCCTCAGCATGGATGCATTCCCACAGGCATGCCAAGGTATGCTGGCCCTAGCTAGAGAGCTTCCTGGATAGCTCTCGCTGCCCACCATTTCACTCCTATGAAGGCTTAAGGCAGGGGTGGGGAATGTGTAGTCCTCTAAATGGTGTTAAACGCTTAACTCCCATCATTCCATGCTGGCTGGTGCTGATGGTAACTGCAGTCCAATGATATCTAAAGAGAAATGCATTCCCCATCTGGGCCCAAGACTGGAATGTGTGAGGTTCAAAGGAGAAGAGAACTCCTGTCCCTGTAGTCCTTGCATAGAAGATATTTTGGCCACTTTAGTCTAGGATGGAAAAGCTCTGCTGATATGCCAAGCATGCTTAGGAAGGAGTAAATCAAACGGAGGACCAAAACAGACAGTAGTTCAAATCTCTGTCTAGCAACTACCACTTGTTTCCATGTTTTACTTCAGGCGCAGAGCCCCCAGTCTGGATCTTAACCCCCCTACCCTGCATGTTAGGGTCCAGTCCAGATCAGGGCCCCAGCACCTAGTAAACCATGACATACTAGAGAGATTCTAGATACAGAGTTAAAGTAATGCCTGGTTGAGTCTTTAGTGGCACTTTTTGAGACTGACTTTGGGACTCACTTCATGGGTTGCAGCTCCGCAGAACAGCTCTCCTAAACCGAGGTCCCGTTTTTAAGCAAGTTCACGAAACGTGACCGAGAGACTCGCCCCCGAAGCTTTATGAATGAACTCGCGCCCGGTGCGTCATTCCCCAGAGCGGCCTCCTGGGGACAGCAGAGCGCGGCGCGTCCCAGCGCCGAGCGGCCGGGCCAGCCCTCCGCCGCTCATCCAGGAGCCCTGTGAGCGGCGGCGGCGCGTCTTCTGGCGCGGGGCTCGCCGGGCTGAGCTGCGAGCGGCGGCTCGCGGCGCGCCGGGCTGCGCGATGGAGGAGAACTCGGAGCCCGGAGAGGACGGCCGCCAGCGCGGGGCCTCCGACGAAGTTTTGCTCTCGGACGTCTTCTCCCTCGCCCCGGCGCTGAAGACGAAATATGCCCTGAGCCTCACTCGCGGCGCGGAGCTCCTGATGCGCCAGCTGGACTCCGCCGCGGCTGCCCCGGGCAGCCCCGTCGCGGCGCTGAGCCTCTCGGACTGCATCGGCTGCTACGCTTTCCAGAGGAAGGGCGCCCAGCAGCCGGCGGCTGCCTACTTCACCGTCTTCTGCTACCCCCTTAAGAAGGGCTGGTTTGATTCTGGGGCGTCCAGGCAGAGAGTGGCCAAGACTTTTTGTGTCTTGGCGTCAGAGGACGCCGAAGAGAATCGGCGGATCGCTGAGCGCTGGGCTAGGACGATCAGGGAGCTTTCCGTGCCGCGGAGCCCCAAACTGGAAGGTGAGTGAGCGCCCGTCCGGGAAGCAGCGGGCAAACTGCGGCGGGGGCGAGGCGGGACAGGACACCTGCGGTCAGATCCCAGCTTCGCTGGGGGCTCTCTGCGCAGCCCTAATGTGTTTTTACAAAGAAGCAAGTCCCGGTGTATCCACTGGGGTCTATCCTCTAGTCCGTATCTCTCTGAGGGATGGACCTCATGTTTGCCGTATGCAAAATGGGCATAAGGGTGACTCACATTTTCCAGGGTGGATGAAGCCATAGTTGTTATAATAGGAAGACGGGAGTCAGCTCATTGGTTATTCTAGCCTAGTCCTATTGTCTCTGGCTGGCAGCGACTCTCCAGGGCTTCAGACAGGAGCTTTTTTATACTTACTCTGGAGATGCATCTGGGACCTTTCACTGGCAAAGCAGGTCCACATCATTAAGCTACAGCCCTTCTCCCAAATCACTTCCTAGAGGCAGAAGTCTTCTGTGCTATGGGTAAAGCCTAAAATGCAGCATGGTCCTCTGTACCGTGACTAAAAACTATGCAAGTTTCATTGGCTTTGCAAACATTCTCCTCTACATGTGGCAGCAACTGGTGGGGACTGGGAGATACTCAGCCACAGATGCCTGAAACTGGTGAATTTTCCCTTGAGACAGGAAAGGGTCATCACACACATTGTGAACTTCCTACACGGAAAGTAGTTCCAAGTAGGAATTAATGGTGCTATTAATATGCATCTCATGTATGACAATCGCATGTGCACACGCATTTGTAATTGGTCATACATGCATGCTGGTAAGCAATAGCCAGTTATGAGTTCTTAGGATGTATTGCATGCAACACAATGTTCACATATGATAGTCGTATCTCGATTGCAGGTTAATTTCCATGCAAAACTTAAATGTTTTCCATGCAAGGATGTTATGAGTCCCCCAGAAAGCTCTGGTTATGGGGGATATAGAAATACATTGACAGTTAATGACCTGTTAAACAGCTGGTGTATCATAACCCTTGGAAGTAAATCCAACCAATCTAAGCACACTGGGGATTACTTCTGAGTAAACACACAGATAGGATTGCTCTGTTACTCCCAAGTCAGGGTGTTTAGGATTGCAGCCTTCTGTGTATGCTTACTGAGAGTAGGATCCAGACTTCTGAATAAAGATACATAGGATTTCAAAGTAAGCCCCATTTGACTTAAACTGGAGAAGGATCAACATAAGAGAGTCTTCTGGCATCTTAAAGACTAACACATTTATTCTGTCAGAAGCTTTTGTACACACTGTCCTCCTCATCAGATGCATGAAATGTTAATCTCAAATTGGATAATTTATATGCGCCAAAGGATGTTGTCAGAGGGAATTAAAATGCAAAAAGTAGAGACAGTGATAATTAAGTGAACAGTTGCCATTCACAAAATGTCATTGGATAATAATACAGACAGCACTGTTGCCTCACTATATATTAACACACACACACACACACGGATCAGATTTTTTTTTTAGGATTCCAGCTATAGTTTGCCTGTGATAGTTCCCGTGTCTCGTAACCGTGCTTTAATGCTTTTCAAGCTTAACTCTTGCTGGACACCCCAAAAACCTGCTTGCAAAGGTCTCACTGAAGTCAATGGAACTACACAGATAGCAACAAAAGGGGGGGGAGGCAAGTACCCCCTCTCCATGCACACACACCAGCTCTTTGCCCTTTGCCTGTTGCTGTACCCTTGTACAGTTGCTTAAAGAAAAGACACTTCTCACATATACATTCTTGCTGAATCACAGACTGGGAATTAAAATAAAGCTCCAGCCTCAAACATGTTGTTTTTAATGTTAACTCCATCAAATTGAATAGGACTTAAGTTAGAGAAAATATGTTTAGAATATAAAATATGCCATTATTGCTCTTTTGAAAATCTGACACGTTGGATAATGTTCACACCCCAGTTAGGAATACACAGTCCCCTTTCTCTGGCTCCCCAGTAGTTTTTCTAAGTGTTGCTGTAGAACAAATTATGAGCAGACAGCAATTTCATTTATTTATTTAAAATTATTTTGAGACTGCTTTTAAGGGTAAACCGCCTTAGTTTTGGTAAATGAAAAAGGTAAATTTACCAGTCCTTTAAAGAATGTAAGAGCAGCCTTGCTGGATCAGCTGAAAGTCCATCTGTCTGACATCTTGTATTCAACAGCAGGCAATTGAACTTTCAGCGTCTCTGTGGCATTTCTTATTTCCTGCATAAACTTTCCTTCTGTTCAAAGACTAGATGCACTGATTACTATGGAAAACAAACAAACTGGCCGTGTCACCTTGAATTTTTTATCAACAGAACTGTCAGTTGTGATCTTTGAATGCTCCACACAGTAGGGCATGAAATAAAATAAATGTTCATAACTTCTTCAGCTTCCTTGTTTCTGGATTTGGGAATAAAAGGCAAGTTGCATCTAGAACCCAAATTAAATCCAAACTGGTTTCAAAGAAAACCAATATAGAGATTTTAACATTCCTATTAGAAGATAAGAACCTGGATTCAGATATGTTGAGCCAGCTTATGTGAAACCATTGATCTCTGTGCATTGTTAGTAGAATCCTCCCCAATCCATCTTGTCGCTTGTGTAGGGTGAAAATCACGTGGCATTTGTTCCACAGAAGCATTGCTGAGTCTGGATGAACACGAATGAACTGAGAGGAGAGGGGTTCCATAGGGAACAAGGGGGAGATGCTTTTCCTTTCAGATATGCCAGAAGCAGAGAGAGGCATTTTCCAAATAGGCAGGAATATGTGATGAGAGTATAAGTCCCACTCAGTGGGCCCTGAGTGGAAGTGACCCTGTTCTATGTTACCATGGGATGCATAGCTAGGCACCTGTGAGGTCACTGTAGCTACGGAGAAGTGTGTTGCCCAACAGCCTGTCGCAGTTTCTCCCTGGGAAATAAGCTATGTTGACTCCCAGCTGGAAACTTGTTGGGCACGTCAGGCCTGTGTCGCAGGTGTGCAACTAGGTACCTTTAAAAGGGTTGGGGTGCTTTTCTCCATACTGAGTTGTTGCTACGTTGCGTCAGGTTGTCTCCAACTCATGGTGACCCTCTGGATGAATGCCTTCCACAGTGTCCCATCCGTGACAGCCCTGCTCAGCTCTTGTAAATGCAAGACTTTGGTTTCCTTTGTGGAGTCCACCCATCTCCTATTTGGTCTTCCTTTTCTTCTTCTGCCTTTGACTTTCCCTAGCATGATTGTTTTCTTCAGCAAGTCTTGCTTTCTCATGATGTTCCCAAACTATGACAGCTTCAGTTTTGTCATTTTTGCTTCCAGGGCAAATTCTGGCTTGATTTTGATCTGGGACCCAGTTAATTATCTTTCTGCCAGCCCAGAGTATTCACAAGGCAATTCCCCAACATCGTATTTTGGAGAAATAGTTTTCCTCCTGTCCATTTTTTTCATTGTCCGGCTTTCACACCCATACCTAGTGATCAGGAACACAATCATATGAATGATCTTGGTCTTGCTCTCCAGTGAACATATGGTAGCCTAAGTTACAATGCCATGCATTGGCTACAGTGTACTTTCTTATATCAATAAGGTTATTTTTCAGCATTGCTATAGGACGCTTTCTGCCTAACATGAATAAGATTGCACCCTTATTGTTTCCTTTTGATCCACAAAGATCAAGGTAAATCAGTTTTGCAGATTTTTGTCTTGTTTCAAAAAAACTGTTT